CACTTCATTATCTAATCATCATGAATAGGAGGGTATGTGTTCTTATGCTGCTGGTGGCCTGGACTGGAGGCTTTCTGCACTCGTTGGTTCAATTCTTCTTTATTTATCAGCTCCCTTTCTGTGGCCCCAATGTCATTGACAACTTCTTGTGTGATATGTATCCCTTATTGAAACTTGCTTGCACCAATACCTCCCTCATTGGGATTTCTATGATAGCTAATGGAGGAGCCATTTGCATTGTCATCTTCTTCATTCTCCTAGTTTCCTATGCAGTCATATTACGCTCTCTTAAGACTCATGGTTTGGAAGAGAAACGCAAAGCCTTCTACACCTGTGCATCCCATATAACTGTGGTCATTTTATTCTTTGCTCCCTGTATCTTCCTGTATGCAAGGGCTAATTCTACCTTTCCTATTGATAAATTCATGACTGTGGTTTTAACATTCATAACCCCCATGCTGAACCCTTTAATCTATACCCTGAGAAATAAAGAAATAAAAAATGCCATGAGGAAGCTTTGGAGTAAAAATCTGACCTTTGCTGGAGGAAGGTTGTACTGCTCGTGCAGAACATGATATTCATTCTTTCACAGAATCAAGGACTCCTTTCACTAACAGTGACTGCATTTTAAAAATCATCTCCTTTGCATTGTTTAGCCTATTTATTCTGAAACAGGTCTATAAGTTAATCTTTATCTAAATGGGGTATGTTATATCCCTTAGAGAGCAAGAGAATTGTGTCAATTTAATCCCTGATATATGTAATCAAACTGTGTTAAGATTCTTTAGTGGGAAACAATTTTTGGTTTTATTTCAAGTTCTTGTTTGTGGGGTATGGCACCTCCATGGTATGTAAAAATATTATCTAGTAGAAAATTTAAAATTAAAAATTCATCTTGTTAAAAAATAAAACCTAACAGCTTCATCTAACAGCAAAAATAAATATCCTGGTCAAATTAATTAATTTCACAGCACATGTTCACAGCTGAGGATAGACCCATAAGTAGTGAACTTTGTTAGGTTTATACTGTGGTGGTAGCATATGGTTGATTTTGTATATTCTAATTAAGTTTTGGACAGAAAAATTAAATTGTTCAACCCCTTCTGTACATCAAGATCAAATGGCTTCTTCCAGTAGTTACAATATATGTATAAGTGACTCGACTCATATTACGATAGAGCCTCAAATACTGCCTACATTAAATTATACTCTCTGGGTACCTTTTTAAAAAATTGGCAATAAATGTAAAACATTTTGGGACTAGATTGTTTTGTTTACATATGAATGACTTTCTGATTCTCTGTAAACTTTGTGTTCTTGACTTAAGTGGTAAATCAAAGGTGTCTTCTCTGTTTACAATTGCTCTGTAGAAGTTTTGGAGGTCTATTACTGTAATACAAAGACCATTTTTTAAGGTTCTGGCATTATGCATTACCTTGTTGAGAAGTCAACTCACAACACAGATTGGATACGATATTGGTATTTTTTTGCCTTCATCCTTCTTTCAGTTTGTAATTCGATCCGGTTAGTGTACTTAGCAATATTAACGCTCCCATTTCTTTTATATGTATTGAATAAATGCCAGCCATGAAGGTTCATTTATTATTCAATGAAGTAAATAAAAATTAATCTAGATCATTTCTTCAGAAAGAAATTCAACACAGTGGATTAAATAGTAAAAATTTATCAGAACTGTAGGAGATGACACTGGGGTCCTGGCATGAACTAAGTTGGGATCAAGGTCTCACCACCTCTGCTGTGGTGCAGAGGTGCAGAAACCGGACTCAGGATGAATGTTATGTGCATATAATTCTCAAAGTCCTTCCCTGTCCTGATTTGATAAATATAACTTTCAAAAAAATTTAAAGTTTTGCTTCTTACATTTACATCTCTAATCTATACAGGATATAAATTTTCAGGTATGGTGCGAGGTGGGAATATACTTTCCTTTTTATAGTAGATTAACTTCTCCCAGCACATTTATTGAATAACCATTGCATTTCCCACTACCCTGCAACACCTCCACTTTCATATAGAAAATATCTATATATCTATTCTTCTATTTCTTAGCTTTCCAAAGTGTTCAATTTGTTGATCCATGAACAATAATACAGTGTCCAAATTACTGCAGTGTTTCACATAGTATCAAAGTCTAAAAGATCGCCCCCAAATACCAGCAATCACTTTATCATTTCGGATGGTTTTGGTGGGTCAGAAATTTGGGAGCGGTTCACAGCGGTATTTCTGGGTCAGGGCCTCTCATGAGGTTGCAGGCAGAAATTGGCTGAGCCTGAGGTCATTCTGAAAAGCTTCTTCACTCACATGCCTTGTACTAGGCTTGCAAGTCTTGAACAGTGAGGGCTGGAAGAACTAGTACTCCTTGAGATCATAAGGGTTGGGCCCTAATCTGATGCAACTGGTATCCTAATAAGGAGAGGAAGGGACATTAGAGTTCTCTCTCTCACTCGTGTGCACAGAAGAAAGGCCATGTGAGGACAGTGTGAGAAGGTGGCCCATCTGCAAGCCCGGAAAAGAGGCCTCACCGGAAGCCAACCGTGTTGCCACTTTGATATCGGACTTCCAGCCTCCAGAACTGTGGGAATATCAAGGTCTGTTTAAGCCTCCCAGTCTGCATGATTTTGCTATGACAGCCCAAGCAGACTAATATGATGATGGTGGTGGTGATGATGATGATGATGATGATGATGATGATGATAAATAATCTAGATTTGGTGAATAAAGTCCTGAACTGAATCACCAAAATTCAGTTCAGGAAGATAATAGCTTCTCATCGAATCTTGAGATGAGAATAATTTCCTAAGCCAGAACTTCTTGAATGAAGGAATCATCACATATCCTTGAATAAATACCCTGTGATATCACCAGAGATAGGGGGTGTATATCTCCATCCTAACCTTTCTCTAAGGCATCTGATATCATTTGGCAGGGTAACTATGCTCTGAAAAGAGAGAAATACTCAAACATTTCTGGAGATGCCATAAATATGTTGCAAACTAATGCTCATTCCTGGGTGGCAGAATGCCACTGTGGGCCAGTGGTCAGAAAGCAGACCGAAGGTGAAAGAATATTGGCCCAAAGTGATCACAGTGGGCCAGTTCTGCGGAGAAAGTTAGACTACTTATATTCTAAGGAATACATTTCCATTTTGGGTCCCTGATCTCTGGTGTTTAGTTTCATGGAATGATAGGCTGAGTAGAAGTATTTAGAACTAATCTTCCTTTTCAAAACAGTAAGTAAAAAAAATTACCATATCCTTGGGCTACCAAAGAGATTTGATTTATTCAGGGAGTGAGTCTTACCACATTCCCACTGAATTTACTAGTTCGGCTTGGAATAAAATGGAGAGACAGGGTAACTGTGTGGAAAATGGAATCTTAAAATAAATCTGAAATAAATTAGGCAAGCAAAACAATGTCTTTTGTTTGAATTATCCTTTAGCAAGTGAAAATATCAACTATTCCATGCAGGAAAAAGATAAGTAGGTTGGGATATAAGAAACCTAAATTTGTACCCGTAATTTGTCACCATCAGACTTAAATTTTTTCCTCGTCACCATCTGAATGTGTAATTTCAGGAATGTTTCTTTCCTTCCCTGGGCCTCAGTTTCTTCATATGAAAAATGAAAAGAATGAATTAGATACTCTTCAATAATTCATTCAATTCCCAATGTCTATGATTAATGATTGATTAACCAAATTCTGGCCTCCATGTACTTGACTTTTTGGGAAACTCCCATAGTAGACTATCAAACCCAAGACTAGTATTCTTCTTACAGTCAAAAATGGTACAACACTTTTTGGGACTTTTGATTTTGGATAGCTCGTAAATCAGGCAGATAACACTGTGGAACTGAAATAGCAGAAACTGACTTTTGGTTCTACTGCTTACTAGTTACACCATCCTGGAAAAATGAAAGAAATTATTCTAAATGTTAGGTTTTCCATCTATAAGTTCGGAGTAATGTACTCATCTTCTAGGGTTATTTTGAAATTAAATATGAGAGAGGATTGTAAACAGTAAATGCTTGATGTATGATACTACCTTTTAATAGCAAATTTAGGTCAAATTAGAAATGGACAGAGACCATAATATGTTATTAACTGACCAGACAAAATATATAAGTAATGATAATTCTAAATTCTCCAAAGAGAGGAGATGGACAATTCTCAGAGGAAGAAGTTGACGTATTTCAAATTCTCAAGTGTGTTTTGAATCTATTTGTTAATGTCTCCACAACCTAGGATGAGAAACAGTCTCTTCTTAAAGCCTTTGTTGAAAGATGAATATTAAAGAAGATTCATGCTAAGTACCTTGGTAAGATTTTACATGGGAGGTAATGTGGGGCCAAGGTCAAGATCAAGACTTGAGGCCAGACAGACTTGAATTATATCTTTAGGTCTGTCCCTCACTAACTGTATATCCTGGAACACAAGGTTTTCCTTCTCCATGTCTCAATTTTCCTGTCTGTAAAATAGAAGGAAGAACCTTTCAACCACATATCGCTCTTTCTAAAAAATATTCAGTGAGGTATTTTACATTTTTTTTGCATAATGTATAGCATATGTGAAACAGTCAATACTAATTTTTGATCATTACTTGTAATAATAATGGTTAACTTTCATGCAGAACTTTATAATTACCAAATAATTCACACTCTTAAGAGGAAAGTAAGCTTAATTCTTTAGTCCTTAATTATCTCAGAACTGTAATATTTCTGCCACCAAAAAAATAAAAAAGGAGGTGAGAAAGAGCTATTGGAACATTCAAAGTGGTACTAAAATTTATTTAAAAAGTCTTTTCTAAAGGTAGAGTAACATATAATCATGCTAAAAAATATAAAATACAGAGAGGTGAAAATGAAAAAAATGTTAGTTTCAGCATTACAAAAAACCTATAAAATAATACTGTTTTTGCTTTGTTTACTTTCTGTATTTTTCATGCATCATTTTTCATAGTTATCCCTATACTTTTCCAACACAAACATAACATTTAACAATATAGTAACTGAGACTTTTTCTATGAATTAAAAGATTTTGGAGAAATGTTTCTTTAATTCCTGAAAGCAAAAAGGGGTGCCTTATTTAAATGCACTGAAATGACTTTTAGCTTTTATTAATTGATTGTGTAGCAGACCTTTCCTTTCTTGACTCGTATGTAGTTTGGCTCTTAATGAGGGAGAACACTGCTGGGAGGGACACCCTTGGTTGTTTCCTATGTGTTATTATATAGGAGAGGCTAGTGAAAACATCATGGCTATTGGTTGAAGATGTCGTTTCTGGTATCACATTTGAAAGCAATCAAAGCAAAGGCTTTCTCTCTGAGAGTTGAGATGATCGTATTTGATAAAGTGTAGCAGATAACTGGAGCCTCACTGCTTCCAAATTTTTAATCTCTCTCTTTTTTAAATGTTTATTTATTTGTTTTGAGGTGGGGGAGTGGCAGAGAGGGAGGGAGAGCAAGAATCCTGAGTAGACTCTGCACTGTCAGTGCAGAGCCCCATGTGGGGCTTGAACCCACAGACTGTGAGATCATGACCTGAGCTGAATTCAAGATT